TTTCCACCCAAGCTAGTAGTTCTAGTTGGCCCAAAATCTAAATGGATCAATTGTAAAACTTACTAGTTGATACATCATTAATGGATTTAAAAGAAATTCGCTTTTGTTTTCCTTTAGCACAAGCATCACAGATTTTATCATTATCAAATTTAAGCTTAGACAACCCTCTTACTAGGTCTCCTTGAATTAACTGTTGCAAAACACTCATACTAGCATGTTCTAGTCTCCTATGCCATAACCAACTATCATGTTCATCCTTAGCAACTAGGCATAAATTAGTCATATCAAAAGAATCTAAATGCACCATGTATATGTTCCCTATTCTATGACCAACAAGCATAATCCGATTAGATGCAATGTCAATGACTTTACAACCATTAATTTCAAATAAGACATTGAATTCTTTATCGCATAATTGACTAATACTCAATAGATTATGCTTTAATCCCATTCACATATAAACATTTTTAATTTGTATGGAAGAGGTATTACCTATTGTACCAATACTTCAATGTGACCTTTTGAATTGTCTCCAAAAGTCACTTCTCCTCCATTTTTGGCGTTAAGCTCAATGAACCGGCTTTTGTCTCCGGTCATGTGTCTTGAGCATCCACTATCAAGGTACCATGAATTTGAATTTATTTCCCATGCCTTGTAGCAATGCTTCTTTTCCTACAAACATAGATTAATTTTTGATTTTTGGTACCCAAATTCTTTTGGGTCCATATTCATTAGTTTCCAAAATCCTAGTCCCCTTAGGTATCCATTTGTGTAGGATATTTTTATCTTTAGTAGTAATGAGTTCTTAGGAACCCACATACTTCTAACGATTTTCCATTAGAGGTTCTTTGGGGACCTCATGATTGTAGATTCTAAAACTTTTTCTAACAAAGTTGGATTTTGAATTTCCACCTTTTTCAAAATATTTTGTTCTAACTTTATCAAAAGAAGTTTTAAGATCATCAATTTTCTTTTAATGATCATCATTGATCTTTGAAAGTAAATTTTGCAAATCTAAATTTTTCTTTTCAAACTCTTCTAGTTTGATTTGCAAATCTTTGATTTTACTTTCAAGATCGTGTGTTGGATATGAGTTTGTTTCATTTTTCAATTTGAAACATCATTTTTATATTTTAAAAATAATTTCTCATAATCCGAAGCCAACCGATTATTTCTAATAACTCATCATAGGATAAATCATCAAAATTGGATGAGTTAGAGGTTACCTTAGAATCTTCCCCAAATGCCATCAAGCACAAGTTAGCTACTTCTTGTTCCTCTTCATCGAAACTTTCTTCATCGCTCCATGTAGCTACATGAGCCTTGTGCTTATTCTTTGTTTGATTATTTTTCTTCAATTGTGGGCAATCATATTTAACATGCCCTGGCTTTTTGCATTCGTAGCAAATGATTGGGCCCTTCTCTTTCGGTTCATTTTTGAGGCCTTCATTCGTTTGAATTTTCTTCCTCGATAATGTTCATTTTTTTCTGAACCGTTTGGCAAACAATGTCATTTCCTCATCATCGTCATCGTTATTCGAATCACTCTCATCTTTTGTGGATTTGAGAGCAACTCCAATGTTTTTCTTCTTCTCCTTCTCCTTTGGTGTCTCATCAATCTTGTCGAGGTCCACCTCATCTTAGAGCATCATTTCATGAGTGAGGAGTGACCCAATTAGCTCTTCAAGAGTTAAGGACGTTAAGTCCTTAGACTCGATGATTGTCGTCTTCTTTGATTGCCACGATTTTGGGAGGGAGTAGACTAACTTCCTCACAAGCTTTTCATTTGAAATGATCTCTCCATATGATTTGAGACCATTGACAATCATTGAAAATCTATCCGTCATAGCTTTGATATCTTCATTTAGTTTCATCCTGAAATTTTCATAGCTATGCGTTAGAATACTAATTTTAGATTTCCTTACCTCATTGGTACCTTATGAGTGACTTGAAGTTTGTCCCATATTTCTTTGGCGGTTGTACATGATGAAACTCTTTCGTATTCATCTGGTCCAAGAGCATAAAAATGATATGGATGGCTTTGGAGTTGAGCTGGAACATTCTTGTCTCTCCTTCACTCCACAACCTTGGATGAGTGAGAGGTTTGATGTATCCTTCTTCTACAGCATTCCATGCTCCCATGTCACTTGCTTGAATGAAGTACATCATTCTATTCTTCCAATAGGCATAGTTAGCTCCATTGAAGAAAGGAGGCTTATTGACGGGCATTGAGTCGAGACCGGAGTCGAAGTTTGAAGCGGAGGCCATTGATGACTTTGATTATCGATATAACTCTTCCTGAATCGACTCAATAGGTGATTAAACCTTCAAATGAGTTAGGATCTGATGCCAATTATTGAGTTAATCGATTGACGAATATGGCCAAGAGAGGGGTGAATTGGCAATTAAAAAAAATTGGTGGAAGCTTTTGCAGAAAATTGAAAGAAATTGCACAGCGATTTAGAGTGGTTCGACTTTATCAACCAAAGTCTACGTCCACTACCTTAGCTATCCACACTAAGGATTTTCCAACAAATTCTGATTTTTTTTCTCTTTGAGGCCAAAGAGATAACCTTACAACTCCCTCAAGAATATACCCCAATTCTTGATAACACTCTTTTCTCAAAGAGAAATACAAATTTGCAAACTTACAAGAAAAACCTCACAAGGCAAATATGTTTGCACAATTCTAGAACAAAGAAAGAACACTCAAGAGTAAATACAATTGAGCACAATAAGTGTTCTTGAAAGCAAAATGAATATTGAATGAAAAATATGCTTGAAATGCTCAAACTTGAGGTTTGATGCTTTCTCTTTGATTCTCTCTTGATTCTAATTGCTTGATGTTTCTTGTTATTGATCAATGGCTTCTAAGCTTGCTTAAATACACCTTGAATCACTTCTGAACGTTGGGGATAATTAGAGAAAATAATATAGCCGTTTTAGTGTGAAAACAATTAATAAAACAGTTTGGAGCGTGGGGAGAATCGGTACACTATGGGGAATCGGTTCCTAAGTGTAAAATTCAAATATTTCGACCGTTATACAAGGGGGGAATCGGTACCCCCTGGGGGAGAATCGGTTCCCTCCGAGCATACTGGAACACTCGGAGCCAAACCATTCAGGGGGGAATCGGTACACCCTTGGAGGGGGAATCGATTCCCTCTGAGCAATCTGGAATTTTTGGCTTTGAAATGGTTCGAAATACTTTGTAAAATTATTTTGAAATTGTTTTAAGATTAAAACTTAATTTACACTTGAGTAAGGATTAAAAATGATCTTTGAAAGATTTGGAGTAATGTTTTGATATTCGAATAATTCTATCGAATATACTTAGAAAATCATTTGGAAAATCCTAAAATTCATTTAACTTAATTTGTTATATCAAAATATCAAAATGTTTTCAACAAAATCAACTTCTAAAAATTCCTCGGATACAAAGCAATCAAAATTACATTAGAAACGGAGCTTAACTGAAAAATGATCGAATTAGGTGATTAATCAGTGAAAAACAGTTTACCGGGTTCGAATTTAGTGAAACAGACTTCGGAATCGGACTCAGGATGTCGAAAAACATAAAATATGACTTTTTGTCAACGTCAACGTCAACGGTTAACAGTCAACGGTGGTCAATGGTCCACGGTGGTCAACAATCAACGGCTCGGTCCAGACGGCTTAACTCGGCTCGGTTCGACTCAAACGACTCCCATGGATGACAGACGATGCCCACTCTCAAGGGGCGGTGCATGCAGATTCTCCGGTCATCGGACGGCGACGAAAATTTCCAGATTTATAGATCGAGACCTCAGGAGTCATATGCAAGTGTTATTTTTCATCAAAACATAACGGATTATAGAATTTTAAAATGTACCAACTTATCTAACAGTAGCCGACGAGTGACAATGACGATGATGGTGAGTCTGATGGTGTAGGAGGTGTTATGAACAGGTGGTCGGATCGACCGAAATTGATGAAAAAACAACGGCAATCGAGTTAAAACCGATGAAGCTTCTTGTTGAGATTTACGGCGAACAACGCCGATTCACGATGGGATAGAGGTCGGGTTTTGTTCTTCGTTCAATTGTGAATCTATTGGTGGTTTCAAATCGATGAACAGTGGCTGGACGGTGGAGAAATCGAAGATACAAAAGGGGTTGATGGGGGAGAGGAAATTGGAGGAAATCTGAGTACGGGGAGGATTTTATTTTTCAACACATAAGAAAAATGGATAAATTCAGGACTAGGTCCCTGAATTTCCTGTACTTCCTAAACTGGTCTGCTAACTTTGTGATTTTACACTTTAATCCTCTATTTCTTTCAAAATACCACTTAAATTCAATATTTTATAATTTCTAAAATTTAGCCTCTCAATTAGGGTGTGACAGATGAGGTACCAAATAGACACCTTCAGCAAAGAATTAGTAAGACGAGAGTGATGATTAGAAAGCTAGCATAATCAACAAAAGTTTATTCCTATGTACCTAATGGTTCTCAACATATCTATCCCTGTGTCCATCAACAATGAAGTCTTCATTCATATATTCTATTTGTGCCGAACTTTAATTGATGTGTTGCTCTGTTGTAAGTTGAACATCTTCCAAATCTTTCTCATACACTTTTCGAACTCCACATTTCTTCACCCCAACACCTTTTCCATGAGAATCATATTGGAATGACAATTCAAGTTCAACGCATTTCTGATTTGAGTAATCTGGTGTTGATATATTATTGGTTTCACTTTCACCACATTCATTCTTCAAGGAATATGGATATAACACGTCATGTCCCAAGTAACCAAGAAAAAGGTGGTCATTTTTTATGGACTGATTATATCTTTTCCCTAAAAGAATGAGAACGTTATCAAGGCATCGACGTTTTCCATAATGGATAACAGCATTACAGCTGATTTCCTCATCCCCAGAAGAATCACCATTGGCAAAAATGTAGCAGAAAGCAACTCCAATCCACTGACTATCATTCCAAATATTGAGAGACAATGGACTCTTTGATGGCTAAACCATTTTGGGATTTCACTTCCAGGTATAATAACATTGAACAATTTTCTTGAATTTGCAAATACCTGCAAAATAAAACCCTTCGCTAAACACAAATTCTTAAGTACGAGATTTTGTAGTTCTCTCATATCTTCAAGTAGCTTTTACAGAACTCTCCCTCATTCCAATAAAAGAATCAGAATGGATTTATCCTTATGGAATCAGTTCATCCTTGGCTATGTTAATATGTTCATAGAGCATAAACATATCCCAATTTCATTTCTAGAGTCGGGTAAGAATTTCTTAGATAAGTAACTCTCACATTACTCGTAAGGTATTTTACAAAATTTAGGCAGACGTTACGCGTATTCCTTTATGCAAAGGTAGAGCCCTAACGGATAGAAAACTTAGGTTAGCTCGTTACAAAGAATGACTCAACCTTTGAGTTTCGGCTCAGATAAGTACGATTGTAGTCTAGGGACATGTACTGATCAGTCATCTTTTGACATTCGACCATCCGGTCTATCTTGAAAATTTTAACTCAACCTAAGCTCTGATACCACTAAATGTAACCCCCTCATAAAATGATCCACCGTAAATGTAACTCAATCTAAAGTGTCACATTAGGGCTACCGGAATGACCCACCGTAAAAATCTCAGAAAATTTAAAACTTTTATTAAAACATGTAAACTCATAAAATAATTTATCAGTATAAAGAAATAAAACAATTTTTCTGACTCGGATATAAAACAAAATACAATCTACATGCCCTTAATCACATGTTACATACTCTGCAAGTAACACAGGAAGAACTCCATTACTGATGTCGATAGTTGTACTAGTTCAAATTCTTAAGTACGAGATTAAGTCTCTCAAAATTTCAAAAATTGTAGTTATATCTTATTTTTGGAAAAAATATAAACTAAACCCTTCAAAAATTTTAAAAATCTTAGTTTAAACCTCTAAATTTTTTAAAATTTTAAGTTGTCCCCCCAAACTCTATCACCAAGTTTCGCCACTAAAACTACACGTTTAGTATCTAAACTAAATTTATTAACATTTTAAGTGTTTATATTATCAACATCGTCGAGAACAACAAGTGGCATGAATGTTGAAAAAACATTGAAATTTTCATCAAACAAAATATGTGAAAGAAGCACGAATCCAATGATTTCAATGATTAAAGGATGATTGTTATCCTTAGAAGTCTCTTATCTTTAAAAGTCTCGGGTTTGAGTACAATATTTGGAGGAGTGTTTGAGCCTTCATTGTCAAATGTTTGAGTTGTTTTACCGATGCCACCTATATCACAGATTTCTATAACGCAAACATCATCTTCCTCGACGTCTATTTTGGAATACAACTCTCATCATGAACAACCGAATATGTTTGACATAATTTTGTTGATATCTTTTATGATAATATCTCAAATAAATTCCAATTCATTCCCACAAAACAATAAATTGTAGTTTTTATTTAAGAAGTGTTAGAAAAATTGAATGAATTGATGCTATTTATAACTAATTAATTATAAGTCATGTCACTTGGTGAATGAACCTAATTTTTGGTCTAAAGTTGCATCCATTCAATAATACCCATTCAACAATTCTCTTCATGAAAAGATTAAATCCTTTTATAAAAAGGTTAAGCCCTTTCATAAAAAGGATAAATATTTTAATCAAAAGGTTAAGTCTTTTCATCGAAAGATCTTAACCTTTCAGTCAATTTCCTCTCCCTATATATAGACTAGTTTAGGCACAATGAGACACAAGTTACATAAGTTTAGAACTTTGGAATAGGAAAAACACTTAGAAAATTCCTTCCAAATTCGTTCTTTCCGGTGATAGATAAAGGCAAGATTGTGTTCGACTGATCACTACGGTTGTGCTTACTGTTGTGATCGTTTGTTGTTATATCTTAGGAGACCGATGTCCAAAGTTACTCAAAGCACCTAGAAGAGGACGAACCTGTCTTAAGTAAATTGTATACTAAAACGTTGATTACCATTTCATTCATTGTTGTATTCACATAAATGTTAATGAAAACCAATTGTTTCCGCTTATATTTTATGTTTTATCGATATTTAATTTTTTTTTATTTTGACCCTTAAATTTTTTTTAAAAATCAATTTGCTCCCCAATTTTTAAAAATTCAATTTTAATTTTAAATATTTTTAATGCTTTTAATTAAAATCCCTCCTATAATTTTTTAAAAAATTCATTAATTCTCTCAAAAATTCAAAAATTTAGTTATATATTATTTTTTTTTTGGAAAACAATATAAACTAAACCCTTCAAAAAAAATTAAATATTTTAGTTTAAATCTCTATATTTTTTAAAATTTTAAGTTGTCCCCCCAAATTCTATCACCAAGTTTCTCCACTGAAACTACACGTTTAGTATCTAAACTAAATTTATCAACATTTTAAGTGTTTATATTATCAACATCGTCAAGAACAACAAGAAGTACGAATATTGAAAAAAATTGAAACTTTCATCAAACAAAATATGTGAAAGAAGCATGAATAAAATAATTTCAGTGGTTAAAGGATGATTGTTATCCTTAGCAGTGTCGGTTTGAGTACAATGTTTGCATGAGTGTTTAAGCCTTTATTGTCAAATGTTTGAGTCATTTTACCGATGCCACCTATATATCAGACTCCTATAACGCAAACATCATCTTCCTCGACATTTATTTGGAAGAAAGCGTGGAAGTTGGATATCGGAAATGAAGGTGTTTTCCCGGAAGAATCCAAGAAGCTGAGACTCCAACTGCTTGCTTGCTTCGCTTTGTTTAGTATTGACCAGGCCTCGAAACTGTAAACTCTACTAACTATATGACTCTACTTTAATTATAAGGTTAAATTATACCATTTCTCACTTAATTTTACTCTCTTTCCTATTTTACTCATTACACTTTAAATTTAGGGTTTAATGTTAGGGTTTAAAAGTTATGGTTAAGGGTTTAGGGTTTTAAGTTAGAGTAGAGTATAGAATGATTCAATTAAACAAATTTAAGAGCTAAATTGTTGTGGAAATATGATAGGGGAAAATGATAAATTAGGTCTCCTACAGGGGTAAAAGTTACCATTTTGCTTTTTTTTTACATTCTTTTTCTGTACTTAATTTATAATCACAATTATCTAATAATACATTGATTTATAATTTTTCTCAATTGAGCATATTCGATTAACACTAACTGCAATCAAACTCTTAAATAATACTCAGTATATATAAGAATAATATTTAACGTATTATATAAATATGGGGAGAAATGAACCAAAATATATATGGTGAGAAAAAACTATGAATAGATGAATATATTAGAATTAATAGAATGTTATCAAACTATTTAATAAATTAAACACGATTATTAAAGAAAATATACAAAATCAATAATCGGGTCGTCTCTAAAAAAAATTTAAGCTTCTTTAGAGGCAATGAAATTAAACCTATCATCAATAAGTTCGTTTAGTATGATAAGTATTAGATTCTTTAAACAAAATCAGTAATGTGAATCCTAACAATTGTAATTAGAGTAAATTGGATTGGGACAATCGTCGTCATATGGATTAATCAATTAAATGATTGAATGTCGGTTGTTAATTAAAATAAATAAATTAAACCAAAACTAAATGGAAAAAATAATCGAATGACAAAAAGACCACTAGTTTTAACATTGAGACATAAAGAAACACACAATAAGTAAGTGATGCATAAGCTGTTATCAAACCAACATAGAAACGACACAGCAATATAGACTATACTATAATTGAGTCTGCTTCGACACAAGGCTCGTGCAAATGAGAAGAAAACTCTAAATTGCAGCGACTTAAAAATCAGGATACACTTAGCCTCCTAAAGGACTTAGTGTGTCTGCCTCCTATGTATATAAAGCAAATCCTTTAAAATAATCATTAGTAAATCCTAACGATCAACGTTTATTGTTAACAGAGACATTCACGTCACCCCTTTCAACGAACGGTATGTGCAATGTCACCACTTTCGACATATGTCATATGTCACATCATCACTTTCGACATATCATATGCCACATCATCATTTTTCGACATGTCATATGCCACATCATTACTTTTCGACATGTGATATACTCACATTCCCATTTTCGATACATGATATGTACTATATCATATTTTTTGACATGTAACATATGTAATATCATCACTTTCAAAATGTGACATGTGGCATATTCTCACTTTTAACACTTTACATGTGACATATGATCATTTTTCAACACATGACAGTCTTTTGTCATCAACATGTGTTCACTGTTAGTCAACTAACTATTTTCATCCAATCATAGTACATACCAAAGTTGAAAATGTAGAATTTTGATATTATGACTCCAAATAACAAAAAAAAAGTACATAAAAGAAACAACTTCATATTTCTGCTTGCAAATGCTTCAAAAATCTTTAACAAAATTTTTGTGTACAGTCTCACCACTCACTTGCAACGATATACAAAACACAATAACATAAAAATGGCAGCCCCGTCAGTTAGCGGTCCAAGAGCTGCCTTTATTTGGTTTTACTAAGGATTTGCAGAAGGAAGAGAAAGCTCCTTTGAGCTCATCTGGAAGAGGGAGAGAAAGACGGAGAGCCAAAGGGCGTGTTCCACTCTTGTTTCTCGCAGAAAATGAATGTGCCAGCGCTGGCTGCTGCTTGTTAAGCCCTTCCATGATAAAAAAGAAGGCTCCAAAGGTGAGTCAGCTCTGAAGAAGTGCCTGGGTTGCACCTGCATAACCGTTTCAACGAAAGAAATAAGGTCCAAATCGAACCCTGTAAGCAAACGAATGAACCTCGTGATTCCTGTACCTGGAAAACTTAGAGCAAGTCCAGTGCAACATCCGGCTACACCAGCATTAATAACTGCAGACAAACACTAAATTACTGTAATATCAACACACCACGCACGCGCAAAAAGGGCAAAGAAAGAAAGATTGTATTCCGGTGTTTTTCACAAGGCATACCATCATCTTTTCCTCGCAGCCTCTTCAAAATAAAAACAACCAAACTGTGTACATCCGACAAAACTGCAAACGTTTATAAAAGGGAAAAGCAAA